AGGGAGCTGTGTCTATCTTTAATCATGGAATGGAGAGCATATGAAAAAGGACATAAAAGAGTTGTAGAAAAGGGGACTCAGAAATAGGTATAAGAAAGATGAAGGCAAAAAAAAAAAAAAAGAAAGAAAGACAAAGGCAATTTAAAACAATTAAATTCTCATAAGAAATACCAGAAAAATACAGTCTCATGTTAAACAAACAAACAAACAAAAAACAGTTCAGCCCTGAAATGATCTTACTGTTTCTATAAAAGCTTCTAAAACACCCCATGGAATTCAATTAACTTCAGAAAGCAATTATTGAGCGCCTACTATGATGTAAGAGCTTGGATACAAATGTGCATAATCCCATTGGCCATGCCCTTTGGGATTTCAAGGCATATGTGATCTGTACACATTTAATATTCTAAGTGTGAACCTATTTTATGAGATCTCAAAGAATACAGTGTTTAATTCTTTCTGCAGGAAGAGAAATGGGAAATGAGCTTAAAAGAATTTTCCAGAATTTCAACTCAGATATTTACAATATGAAGTAATCCCTATAAATGGATGAGTTGAGCCATGTGTAAAACAATAGGGATTGGGAAGGTTTGGAAAACTGGATACTGCATTCCAGCTTAAAGGCATTCAAGTTCAAATTAAAAAAAAAAATTACCATGGATGTAAACAAAACCATCTGAGGTCAGTTTGCAACCTTTGCAATACACATGGCAAGTGTTACTTGTGTTACTTGAGGTGGATTAGGAAACAGGATTGAACATCAGCAGGTGGAGAGGGGAACACGTGAAATTCTAGAGTGTATAAATATCATTTACCAAGAGACAGAGATGAAAGTATTTGGAATGTGTAGCTAGCGGTAGGTGGCTAAGAGAGGGAACAATGAGGCATGAGGGAGACATCAGCCTAGATTATAAAGGGCCAGGAACACAATGCTAAGTTCAAACATCATCTTGATGGCATCAAGAACCACCTCATTAATTTCCTTAACGGTATCCTCTTAAGGATGCATCCTTAACAGTATCCTCTTAAGAGTTCAGTGGTTTCTCAGGTCTTCAAGAACACAGATTTGTTATTATAAATGATTCTATCTCATAGGAAATGAGAAAATGTTCTCTGTCACTGGAGAAAATTTGACGGAACTACCATGATGGAAAACATCTAACTTTTTAAAAATCTGTTAGATTAAATACTGCATATTTAGAAACATCTGTTTATTCATAGGATACACAGCTCAGTCGCATAGATTATATCCAAGTTAATGTTGATTATTTTCTCTTGAGTGTAAATATATATATATATATACATATATATATATACAGCTTTTAAAACTTATTCAATAATTAATATGCTAATAATTATTTGACATTGTTCTAAGGGCTTTATCATTTCATATTATTTCACTTCATCTTCATGAAACTCTTACTGCTGTGGAGAGATCACCCCACTTACAGGTAAAGAAATACAGGATAGCAGATAGGAGGTAACTTGCCCAAAGTCACACAGCCCATAAGCAAACAATCCAGCATTTCACCCAGGCAGTCTCTCCCCAGCGTGTGTGCTCTTAATGTGGAGTTTATAGGCTCTGTATGAACTGGTTGATAGCTAGAGCTGGTCTTTCTTCCTAGGCCTGTAGAACCATTCTTCTAGAAATATGGTAGACCCTAGCCTTGTCTGTGATTACCACTAGGCTATCCTCCTAGCTCTTTCTTACTCCTGACTGTTAGAATTTCTCTTATTCATAGTAGCTCTTTTTAGTCCTGGCACATTTATCACCAGACAGAACTACTGGAGGAACATGAATCTTCTCTTTTTCTGCCCCCTCCCCCCTCTGTTTGTACTACTACCAGACTTCATTTAAAACTTCCTTCATTCTCACAGGATCTGTTTGGCAGAAGGCTTGGGTTTGACTTCGTCACTACTTCTTCATAACAGAGGGAAAAAAAGTCAAATCCATCATAGGAGAAATCACAACATGAAATACAGTATTTACTAAATTCCAGAGTATTTGTGTGATTATTTACAACAGGGTCATGATTACTGTCATTGATAACTCTGTTACTTGTCAATTGTGGGTTTCTGCAAAGTTTCTTCCTGCTTAGAGATGATTTCTAAACTAGCATTTCTTGGGTTCCACACAAGCCGTTTTTGTCTGCAGTGACTTTTCTCTGCCACTCCATCAGAAAAATTGTGCTCTGAGGTTTTAACATACACTGTATCCACGTCAGTGATTCATGCTGATTTGCATGGTAACAGTGTGGACATGGCCAGGATTTCTCACAGACACATGAGATAACTTATGGGTGAGCACAGATCATTTCTCAGAGCTCAGTTTATGCTGCATCTTTCCCTCATTGTTTCAAAGTCACTAATAAATTTCTTCTACTGATATACCTACTTTTCTGTTTAATACAAAGCTTCTCCAGAGCCTCAGGCACAGCACTTCCAAATGTCAACTGCTATTAGCTCTGCACATTCATCTTTGTTTCCTTATTTCTCCGAAGTTGTCTGTATCTCTCAGAGGTGAGTCCAGGTGGCTTGACATAACATCGGGGTGCGGGGGTATAGGAGTGTATGTATATTCTCAAAATAATGCATATAGCTATTTATCTCATCTCTCCTTCTTGCCTGCAAACTTTTCTGGACCCAACTAAGTATCTAGCATAAAGCCTTACACCTTGCTTAAGATCAACAGAGCATAAATTGTGTTTTTAAATTATCAGTCAATCAATCACTCCATCGAGTATCCCAGGTCCTCCACTTTAATTTACAGGAACGGGAAGCATATTTTCAGACAGGGAACATGCTGTATTTCAAACTGTAATGCAAATACAATGTTTTGTGAGAACGTACAAGTTAGGTTTACTTCATTTTTATCTGTATTTATATATATCTCAATGTGTGTGTGTGTGCTTGTGTATATATCACTGTATGTGTATTTCTGTGTGAACTGCATTTTCGCCTTTAGGAATATGAGGGCAACCTTTCTTCAGTGAGCCCAAACTTCCTGTTTCCCTATCCTGCAGCCAAAATTCATGTGAAAACATTTCATGTGTGATCTTCATAATCAAGTGGAGCTGGTGCCAAGCAGGGGTGGGGACATGTCACCAAGCACAGTGACTCTTTGACATATGTGAAGAAGGATATATGACAGAGTATACCGACTGGTCAAACTAGTGCCTGCCGAAACCAACAGGCAGGAGAACCAGAAATCTGCTGTCAAGATGCAAGAGCATTGGCTCAAATTAAGAAAAATAATTTCTAGTGTTTCAGAACCATGCAAAACACTGCAACATAGTGTCAGTTCCAGAGAAGTAAGTACTAGATTATAAAACATGAGCCAGACTATGTCTGGCTTCCTAGCTCTCAGTACTTGAACCAAACCCTGTAGCTTCTCTTCTGCTCTCTTCTCTTGATCCGACATACCTTTAAGAACATCAAACAGAGAAAAGCATGGGACAGTGCTTTGGAATTTGTAAAATACTCTATAAATATAATGTGGTGTTATTAGTTTTTGTTGGGGAAAAATTGTTGGGAAAGAGAAATAAAACATCTCCTTGTTCAAAACCTGCTAGGCTGCTGTTTAACAATTACCACTGTAGCATGGGTTAGTCAGGTGAATTTTACTGCTTTTATTCTGCTCTATCTGTTGTCCCCATCTTTTTGTAAAAACAGAGGCATTTTTAGGATCCACTGTATTATGCTCAAGTATAATATGGGATATGAAAGAATTATACTATTAAGTGATGATAGAAGTGGTTTATGATAGATGCTTTCTTTTTTTCATATATACTTACCCACAGCAATTTTACTTGTCTGTGCAAAAAATCATATTCTCTCATATTTGAAGTACCCAATTTACAAAGAACTATTATGGATTATATGAATTATAAGTTTGTATAGTAATATATAGAATCTGATTAGGTATCTTTAGTAATATGTTCATAATGATACTTGAGAAGAACTAAGGAAGTGGTAAGAAATCAGTTAAATAGTAAAAATGTATAAACACATTTGTAGTAGAATCTGAGTGGTGATATAAAGATTGTTACTCAGCATTAAGTAAAAAATAATCATAAATTATACAACATTTCAAAAGAAATACAGGCTTATTACCTCCAAGTACATAAAATAAATTCTTCCAAAATATAGGTCTTTATATTATATTAAATTTTTAAAACTCAGATTAGTATAGTTTCTATATGTGACTTGATAATACTAATATGTAGAAGGTATCTAAAAGCTGTTATAGTTAGGGGCACCTGGGTAGCTCAATCAGTTAAGCGTTTGCCTTTGGCTCAGGTCATGATCCCAGGGTCCTGGGATCGAACCCCACGTCGGGCTCTCTACTCAGTGGCAGCCTGCTTCTCCCTCTCCCTGTCGCTCCCCCGATTGTACTCTGTCTGTCAAATAAATAAATAAAATTTTAAAAAAAAAAGCTTTTATATTTATAGTATTATTTTGTTCGGCAATTTTCTTTCCTATATATAGTAAAAAGGTTGTATCAGCCCAAGCCACAAGAACTTGTCAAGCAATTCCTCTATCTTTCTTTCTATCTATCTATCTATCTATCTATCTATCTATCTATCTATCTATCATCTATCTATCTCATTTCTAAAGAATATTCCTCACACAGATGAAACTTGAACCAAATCACAAGATTGATTCTTAACTCTTTTCTGTTTCATCTATTTATTGCCATGTGCACACTTAATTTTGTGTTTATATGTTTATTTATTTTTGCTCCAAAGAGAAAATAGCATGAACCATACATAGTTGCTTATCACCTCCAGAGAGGCATATTCATCTATATCAAATCCTTTCTACAAATGTTAGTATGGACCTCATTTGACTAAAAACCACTGTATTATTTATAAAGAGATCTATTATCCCAGAGAATCAAAAAGTTGGAAGGAGAATATCCAATGAGGAACAATTTAGCTTTCTGTTTCCTCTTGGACCTTCTGACTATGAGAAAAACAAATGCTCTCAGTGGTTCTTACCTGCAGTGTACAACCATGGGACCTGCATCAGGAGGGTTACAGGTTTTGACTCTCCGTAAGAAAGCTAGAAAAGGTGTAGGGTGCTCTGGAACGCCGTGATCAGGCCAGGCAGTGAACTGGAATTGTCTTACTTCTCTCTTCTCGCTTGACCCATTCTGTGAAGCAGGAAGACTGGGTAAGATTCTGTGTTCTTAGCCTCAGATTGTAGTGATGAGTAGTAACATGGAAGAGGTAACATGGAAATATGCTATCTTAATTCCTTCCCCTACCCTATGACCTTTGGGAAGATGCACTCTTTGGAACTATCAACACCAAGCTATTTGTAAATGACAACTATTTGCTCAGGAAGATAAACATTCTTAGGTGAGAAGCATTATATTTTTTAGGTATAACTATCAGGAGTGCACCTGTTGTAATTTGCAGAAAGAATTAGCTCTTCTTCATCTATTCTTCATTTGTGGAAACTTCTGTTCAGAGTGAGAGTTCCGTATTTACTTATAAATCACTGGACAAGGAGAAAAATTGCTGAGTGATAATGGAAGAATTATTTCATTCTTCACCGTTGCCAGTGGAATCAAGATTAAAGTCTTAAGATATTTGATTTCTCAAAAGATGCTTTCTTTAAATAATGGAAAGGGGAAACGGAGGGGGAAAAAATAAAAGGCAAACCTTGTAAAGTGCAAATGTCCGCACACAGTACGTGGCCAGTTCCACCGTATCAAGCAGCGTCACTTGCACCAACCCGTGGGTTTCTGTGCCTCTACTGGGCCAGTACTGGTCACACTTCACCTAGAAGAAACAAGTGACGCATTCAGGGCAGATGCTCATCAATTTCTCTATTTGCCTCACTCGGAGTTGCTGTTGAAGGAAAACAGCTTTTTGGTGTTTCATTTTATGTTGATCTTTTTCTGGCATGTATTCTTGTTATCCCATATATGTAAATTACTGCTCTAATGCCAATATAAACCGCATTTTTCAAACTGGTAGGAATACTAAGCAGTAACAGATTCGATTTTCCTGGAGAAAAATAAATTGCAGATTGTTGCTGAGTAAAATAAAGAAAGCGGTATTTGAAACTTTAGAGTACTTGAAAAGAAAACACAAATTTGAAAGAGGGCACTTATTGAATGGAGCACTGGGTGTTATACGCAAACAATGAATCATGGAACACTACATCAAAAACTAATGATATAATGTATGGTGATTAACATAACATAATAAAAAATAAATAAAAAAAGAAAACACAAGTTTGTTCTGGGATATATGTCATGAATCGCATCAGGAGGATTATGCTCAGCCATTTAAATGACATGGTGAGACAGTTAGTATTCACCCATCAAGGTTTAAAAGGCACAAACTAGTTCACCATCTTGAACTATCACAATTTCCAAATACACTTGTTTAAAGAAAACTAGAAATGATTTGTGAATCTATCAAAGTATAATAAACAACATGGCATTGTAAAAAATACAAGATAAATGGTATTTGCATCCAAAACAAATTAAATCGGTAATGTGTAGTGGAAAAAGAGCTGTGTGTTCTTTAAAACCGGTCTCAGAAGGTCATACAAGAGTGCAAAGTTAAAATAATTTAAAATTCATTCATTTCAGATGAATAATCTACAATTTCTATGTGGAGTTGAACAAAAGCACATAAAAAGTATTCAAGTCAAGTAGTTTAACATGCAACAGAAAAATAATTCCAAGTCTGGAATACATTTCAAACTTACTAGGTACTGTGGGTATTAAAAAGCATAATAAAAAATGATAAACACAACACTATATTTTCTAGTAAGATCATAGATAAGAATATATTTACCCTTTCTATCTCAGATTAAAAGAAAAGATGGGAATAATTCTTAACTGAAATGCATTTCTCTAGGTAAAGAAATGTAGTACCATTTTATATTAGGAATCACACCGTGTAGTTGAAAAAGAAAGATTCGAAAGTCATAATCTCTAGATTTAAACAAAAGCAATGAGGCATTATTATCATAGACACTAGAATTTTTTGGTCCAGTGAATAGAATTGCTAGATAATTATTTGCTTTTATGTTGAATATAAATATTAGTGGCATTCTGTGAATAATATTGTAATTTTCTCTTTCACAGATGTAGCATCTGCTCTTCAAAGGACTCAGGCTCTTTCTATCTAGATAGTGGGCCTTCTGAAAAGGCAGAGGTTTTATTCTCTATCCAATTTCCTAGACAACAAAAAGGAGAAAACCACTGTAATGTACAGTTATACAGTAAAGTGGAGGTTGAATTTACAAGGTTTGACTCTCATGCCTTTATTTCAATGGTGAAACCACACAAACACCTATTTTATAAAAAACAAACAAGAGTGGTTCAAGAAAGATGGGCAATTTGTGTCTTAATTTGATTTTTAAACATACTTACATGTTTTCTAGATGCATAATATATTCTTCTATGTTTATATTTCTATGATATGATCTACTTAAAGAACAATAACACAAGGGAAAGACAATTCTCTAAGGAGAATATTGATATAGCATGACCCTGACTGAGTACCTCTTATGTTCTCTGACCATCCATTAAAACCTAAGTTGTATGTGGGTGGAATTAGCAGAGGGTACCACCTGAATACAGCCAACACTACTTAAGTAGCCATGATTCAGATTGAAAGAAAATCACAAAAATTATGCCAAAGGCTCTGATTTAAACCATAAAATAGATGTCAAGTTGATGTCTCGCTGCAAAGGACAAAAGTAACTTTGGAGACCTCTTACTGCAACATTTGAGAGGATGCCAGCAATGTGTTGAGTTAAAAAATGAAGAGAGAAACTCAACTCATTATTTAACAGTTTCAGCTGGATGGCAACCCTTTCAAATAAAAATCAACAGTTCAAATCCCATAGGGACAAATATCACTATGATAGACACAAAAACAGCAGGTTGATGCAATGAAATGATCTATAAGGTCAGTACGATGCACTGAACCAAATTCAATGCAATTATATTTCAAAGCTGGGAATTGATTATCATCAGACCTTTTGGTGAGATAAGACAAAGGAAATGAAAGATAGGACCATAAGCCATCTTTTATGTGACCTCTGGAAGAGTTGTTTTATTATTTAGTGACTTTCCATCAACAACTCCACTCCATCCCTAAGACATAGCAAAAACTGAAGTTACACTAATTATTCTCATACTTCAAGTATTAAATTTAAAACTGCAACTCTTATTGACTTATACTCTGACTCCTTTAGGAAAAAAGAATACTGGAAAACACTACTTTAAGGAGTGAATGTTGTGAACATTTTTAGCTAAAAGAAGGGGAAAAGAAAGCTTTTGTACTCAGTTGAAATGATGTACTTGAATCTTACTCTTTATGAAAAAAACAAAAAACAGAAAAACAAAAAACACCAAAAAAACCAACTCAGACAAAAACCCTGCTCTAAAATGTTTCAAACTCAACAGCAAAAAACTGGAAGCAATTTTTTCAAGCAAATATACTTAAACACTGTTGTTTTTCCTCAAGAAATATTTCACAAAGGGAGTTTATGAAAAAATAAGTATTTTAATGTATGTACACATGCACACATATGGCCTCAGCAGCAGAATTAGAAGCTTTCCACAGGCTTCTCGGAACAGCTATAGCAATCCACTCTTCCCTTCATTAGTAAGTACCTGGGCACTCTCTTCTCTCTCTCGTTCTCTGAGTAGCCCACACGCTTTCATCTGCTTTCTAAGGGTTACATTTAAGGGCTCAGATTTACTGACATTCTTTTAAGTCCTTCATTTTTAGCCATACACTAAACAAACAATTTCTGATTTCAACATTAGAAAGCAATTGGGAAGTATAGTGAGTGAGTGAGTGAGAACAAGGGCACAGGAGAACAGTTAGAAATTATTTTTTTTCTAATTATCCAATGCAAATGAACTTGCCTCATCGTCTCTCTTGAAATGTTTTTTACTTGGACAATAGCCCCTCCCTCCACCTTTTCTTCTTTTCCCCTGGGAGAAAATCTCAGAAGATATTTCTAGAGAGAGTTACCACTTTTAGGCTTTGTGCACAGAGACTAGTGTAGGAGGCTCCCCTCTGAGCATCTAAGAACTAGAAGGCAGCAGCTCCTGAACACAAATACTGATGCTTGCCTTTTCCTCTTTGATTCTGAAGTGACTGACTACATCTTCAGGGCTGATGCATAGAAGGTTGGGCAGTCTAACTGGATGGCTGGTAAACTGCTTCTCTATTTTTAGGACCAAAGTCCAGCAGCCTCATTTGTTAAATGGGTACAATATCTCCAGCATGATATTGTAACATAATATCATGGCTATCATAAGGCTCAAAAACCATGCACCTGAATCTCTAAACCCAATAGGCATTCAATAGGCAACAGCTATTACTAGTTCTCAGTTAGACTATGTTCCCAATTTTTTATGATTGTTGTTCTAAATAATGTAATCATTCTAAATATGAACAAAAGAAACATGTTATTAATCCCCATGGATATGTATATAGGAGTTGCTAAGTCTTAGAAACTGTGAGGACACCAAAGTGAAATGAGATGCAGTCCTGCCCCCAATCCATCAGCTTTACTGACTAAATATAGAGGTATGTTTTCATCTGCTGGTTCTTCAAATACATAGTTGTGAGATTTTCAAATAACTCCCTTACTCTACCTGGGTCCTAGTCAGATGTGAAAAGAGAATGATTTAGTGTCTGAGGGGGAAAAGGAGAGAAGCAGAACATGATACCCAGGCTGTGGTTTAGAAACCTTACCCGGTAACTCAATTTGAGGCCTAACCTAAATAAGACAGTTCAGATTTCTGGCCAAATTTGGAGGAGATACTTACTTTTATTATTACAAAGTGATTACCCTTATATGGTAGCTTAATTTCTTCATAATTATGGAAAAAACAAGCTGACCATCACTAAATGTATGCTATGGAATTAATTTATATCCCCTCTTTCATGGCAACCTATTAAAAGCAAATTGATGGAATGATAAAACTTGTCATTGGAAATATCATGTAGGATTTATCCAGTAGGTCTGCTGACTGTGCTTCGGAGAAATGCTTTCTTTCTAGTTCGAGTTTGACTTCCATATGCTTATCTTGGAAGTGCCTGGCACATCACAGATATTCAACAACTGGAGGCCAACTTTATAATCAACTATACTGTGGTCTGCATTGACTTATTTTTAAATTGCCCAAAACTTTCTGAAAGCAAAACCTTCTCATTTCAATTTAACAGAGACTCATTGAGCATGGTAGCAGCATGGCGAAGCAACAGAATTCCAAAGTATGGGGCATCTGGGTGGCTCAGTCAGTTAAGTGTCTGCCTCCGGCTCAGGTCATGATATCAGGGTCCTGGGTTTGAGCCCTGCGTCAGGCTCCCTGCTCAGCGGGGAGTCTGCTTCTCCCTCTCCTCCCCACTTGTTCGTGATCTCTGTCGCAATCTCTGTCTCTCTCTCTCAAATAAATAAATAAAATCTTCAAAAAAAAATAGAATTCCAAATGTAATAAACCAATACCTTCAAAGGGTCCCAGCGTCACTGATGCAAAATCCACTTGCTATATGGTACTTCGAAAAGTTTGCCTGGGGCCAGATAATTTATCCAAAGGACTTAGAATAAACAATAAATGATAGACAGGAAAGCATAACTGTTGCTGAAAGTAACTGGAAATTGGTATCTACTATGTTTGGTCAGAAGAACCTTTTATAAGGAGCGAATACAAAGTACGCTAACATTAGATAATACAAGTCAAAGTTGGTATTGGGACTATGGGAATGTTAATATACGCTCATCAATGCACATTTAA